GCTGCAGGAGGCCCAGGATGGACATGTCGTCTGAGGAATGGGAGGGGGAGTTGAAATGGTTCGCGACTGGGAGGTGCAGTTGTTTGTTGCGAACCGAGCGTAGGTGTTCTGCAAAGCGGTCCCCGAGTCTCCGCTTGGTTTCCCCGATGTAGAGGAAGCCACACCGGGTACAGCCAGCCCTGCACCTTGTTGTCTCGGATTCTCCAGCATCTGCAGTTCCTACTATCTCTTAATATTTTTATCATCTTTTTCAGTTGCAGAAGAAATATTAGCCTGGGTGACTGAGGGAACATTTTATTTTTTGTCTAAAACTGCCAAGACATTGTTGGACTATAATATTTGATTTTCTGCGGCCTGATTTTGAGCAATTGTAGTGTGAGATTATTAAACAGAAGCATTGTATTGCATAGTCACTCTTTACCACATCTTTTCAACTTTGTGCAGGAATGGAGACCAACGGCCATAAACGCAGGACTAGGTATAAACTTCCATTCTTGAATGCAATCCTGAATTCCCATGTTAGATCTCCTGATGTTTATTCTCTGGTTTGCCAATATAAAATATTGGGCAGGTTTTCATGGATGCCTAGATTATCACCTTGCCTGTTTCTTGAGCCCAAGTTGATGAAAGGCAAAAAGTGGTATAAATGCGCATTGATGGCATCCGGCCTCCCCAATTTTAGCCCCATTTGTTCCTCGCAGCTTGCCCAACCAGCACCCCCAACCTCTTACACCCACCTTTTTAGGATGTTCAGTTACTCTCTGCTCAATAAGGCCTGAATTAGCTGACTCAGGTGTTCATCTTCTCAACTTCGGGAGCTAGCTTGCTCCCCTAGAAGTATTCATTAGGGAATTCTGGTGCTGCTGGGACTTCCAGAGTTGCTGGCTAAACAGATTAATCAGCAGTTCTTGAGAGTAGGACTTCCTGCCACTGAAGGCTGGAGGTCCCACTCTCTCCTTGTTCAGTCTACCCACAGTGTATCCTGATTGTAGATGGTTGGGGAGGGCTTCGCTCTGGCACAGCAACCGATGATCATCTGGGAGTGTAGTGGTCACAATAAGCAGTCCACCCACCTTCCCCCTCCCGTTAAAATCCAACCTAGTTATTAAGGAAAGCAATATGAGGGAGGCATTCAATATAGCTAGGTAACTAACAATATATGGAAATTGTTTTCATGATATACTTACTGGGAGCTTTGAATAGCTATAATATTCTGCTGAACAACTATTTCTTTTGTTCATGCTTCATCAAAAATTAACCGGTCCATTAATTTTTTTGTCTTGAGTTTTAGACTCCAATTTTTCCTCTTCACATTTCATAGACATAGAAAGGAGTTTTCCATAAACAGTACCTCTCTGTTTGCGCAAGCTGATGAAAGTGTGGGCTTTTGCAGTGCAGTGGTAGCATCCTACCTCTTAGCCAGGAAACCTGATTTCAACTCTCACTTGCTGCAGAAATGTATCATAACATGCCTAAAAATATCCACTTGAAATATCCACTAAAAATATCCAAGTGAATGAGGAGCCCAAATGCAGAGTTTACATGACCATCACCAAAGCACATTAAGAATGTCACCCACACCAGCACTTTACTTACAAATGGGCAGAATCTTGTGCCTTCTTCATGCCATGTTTGGCTGCAGGGAGGAATTGACCAAGCACAGCCCCAATGGGGACCCCTGCTGCCTTTCTGCCTCCACCCTGATTATGTTCATGGCAGAAAAGGCCCACGAATGGCCTGTTGTCAATTGACTCCCTTAAGCAAGCAATTAAAGGTCAACTTAAAAGCTTCATCTCCCCTCCATTGCTATGAAAAAGAGTGATGAATAGGAGCTGGGTAGTCATCATGCGGGGAGTGAATGCAGACATGACAGGGGAGGTCCCCTCTTGCTAAAAATGTTTCTATACCTGATTGAGCAGCCCAGCACTGCTACTGAGAGCCACAACCTGTCATTGCTGCTAATACTCTCAACCCTCCTGTCTGCTATCATACACGTTTGGCCTGGGATCTAGAAAAGGGTGAGTATTGTACTGGCAGCAGCAGTGACAGCCTCCTGGGTGGCATTGCCATTCAAGCTGTCAGTCGCTGACTGGCTGGTTGTTCTTGGACAGAGGAACGTTTGCTGATAGAGTCTTTGATCCCAGGGGCAGGGCCTGTCGAGGGCCTTAAATGAATAAGATGTGGCAGGCCTCACTGAAAAGAGACAACACGTGGCTTCCACAGGCCAGTAGGGAATATTTTCGTCACCTCCAACACGTTCAGCCCACAGAGATGAACAGAGTCCTTTTCCAGCAGTGTTTGCTGCATAGGTTATACTTAACACTTGAAACAATTCTCATGTTACACCACATGTTGGTCTGATCCTGAGGTCCACCTCCACTTCAAGTTCAGTAATACTTAGCATCCCCATTCCTCAACCTAGACACCAACCTCCCCTTCAAATTCCAAATTCTCTGCTCAATGGTAGTTGTAGGCTGCCTTTTGGAACATTTGGCAATTGACTTTGCATTGATATATCAGCAAGAAAGTATCAGATTTCTCATCTGTAAGAGCAGTCCTGTATCTTCTCTGTGGACATCAGCTTATCAGGCTCTTACACGTCTACTACTTTAGGACGATTTTAAAAATATAAGACTGTATCCATGCATACGTGCCTTTTTTTTATAAAATAAAATCAATTGGAGGGACAGAAAAGAATTCCAGTCACTGCATGAATTAAAACTTTGGACCGTAACCAGCAATTAATTCTGGTCCAGAAACAGAAATTCCTGGCAAAATTCAACGGATCTGGAAGCATCTGTAGGGAGTATACAGAGCTAACATTTCCAATGTGGTGACTATCAGAACTGTTAGCAGTCTGGAAAATGTGATATTTATGTTGAAGATGAGGTTGAGGGTCAGGGGAAGGTGAGCGAATAGGTGGAGATGGAATCTAGAAAGAGTTATGAAAGGGGGAGGTAAACAAAGAGATTATGGATAGTAGGCCAGGACAGAAGAAAAGCTGAATAAGTGATAAGAACTAAGAGTAGGAGAAAATGGGTGAGCTATACTGAAAGCAACCCATGTCATAACTGGACTTGGTGTGGGTTAGTGAAAACATGAAAGAATGGAATCAGTCTGTAAAATTATTGAACTTGATGTTGAGTCCAAGAGGCTGCAGGGTACCTAAGTGGAAAATGAGATGTTTTATAAGCTTGTGCTGAGGCTCACTGGAACACTGCAGCAGGCCTGTGAAGGAAATGTTGGCGTGGGAACACAGTGGTATGTTGAAGTGGCAGGCAACTGGAAGCTCAAGGTCATTTTTGCAGACAGAGCGTAAGTGTTTTGGTTAATTCTGGTTGGTGCTTAAATTCCTGGAAGCTGTCACAGTGTCAGGAAGTCTACCGTATCATGACATTTCATTGTACAGCAACAAATATCGAGGTGGATCTTTGAAGATTCAGTCTATCTTGTTGATAATGGCATATTAACGGGGTTAAAGTGGGTTGATATCAGTGAGCACTACAGAACAGACCGTCAGGGGTGTTAAAGACTGATGTGTTATTACATGCTGCACAGCATTGTTCATCCAAGAGGGTTTCCAATCTCACAGAGAATGAAAGGGAAGGAGGCTAAGAGTGTTTAGGGTGTTCTGTGAAGAATTCTCTACAATCCTTGCTTGCTGCTGCACAGAGTTCAGGGTATGTGGTATAGATAATTGACACAGGTTTTGCAGTTATAATTAACATATTCTCTTGAGGGCCCCCATCAAAAACAACAGGAAAAACAGATCTTGAATCACAATCATGCTGGAACCCATTACTGACGGAATGTGGCCAAATCTCTTCACTGAGATTGCATATGGGATCTGGTTGCTGATATGGTATTAATTTGAGATTTACTCACCACTCCTGAATTATCAAAGTGATCTTTAATAAATTTGAACATTAGTTTTCATTTCACTTTCATAAATTGTTACATGTCATCCTCCATTTTAGATTAGAACAAATCAGAATGACTTTGATTAGTTGTTCTCCATCCCTTCTGGGCAGTACCGGAGATCGATGCCTTGTCTTTTATAATCCCATACAAAGTGGTCTCTTCTTCTTCAGTAGTAATAGGAATAAGTCATAAATCACAAGACACCAGGTTATAGTCCAACAGATTTATTTGAAAACACAAACTTTCGGAGCTTCACTCCTTCTTCAGGTGTTAGTGAGAGAGGTAGTATCAGACACAGAATTTATAAGTAAAAGGATTAAAGGGTTACACCACTGATGAGGATGTATTAAACAAACCTAAGATGCTGTTATATCTTTAATCAGTTAGAAGGATTTAATTGATTAATATGTATATGTAAATCCCCAAATTCCTTTCAAGTCATTGTCCTTAGAGAACTAAAGGTTTTATCAGTGTAAAGAAGAGGTGACATTTTAGGTCAGAGAATGCATGTTAGGTGTGAGGCCTTGTTTAGAATCTATTTGTGTTTTGGTTTGGAGTCAGACTGGTTTTATTTCTAAAGTAGGAATTTATAAAACACCACATTGACTGACTGTCTATAAATTGTGTGTTTTTTGAGCAAAATAGAATGTATTTGCAAATACAAATTCACCCCATTCACATTCGTGTGTGTGTGTGTCTGTGTGTGAGCAAGAGACAGTGTGTGTGGTGTGGGGTGGAAAAGAGAGAGAGAGGAGAGAGAGAAAGAGAGAGAAAGTGAGAGAGAGTGTGTGTGTGTGTGCATGCGTGTGGGAGAGTGTGTGTGTGGGAGAGAGAGAGAGTGTGTGTGTGTCTGTATGTGAGGGAGAGACAGTGTGTGTATGAGAGGATTTGTGTGAGAGAGTGTGTGTGTGAGAAACACACACACACAGACACGGATCCTTTCTCATACATACACAAACACACTCTCTCTCTCTACCACACACGCACTCACTTTCTCTCACACACACTCCCTCACAGACACACACACACTCACTCTCTCCCTCCCACACATACACTCTCTCTTCCTCATACACACACACGCACACACACACGTGAATCTATAGGGTGAATTTATATTTGCAGATACATTCTATTTTGTTCAAAAAGCACACAATTTATAGACAGTCAGTCAATGTGGCGTTTTATAAATTCCTATTTTGGAAATAAAACCAGTCTGACTCCAAAACCAAAACATATAGAGATTCTAAACAAGGCCTCACACCTAACATAGATAACACAGTGTGGAGCTGGAGGAACACAGCAGGCCAGGCAGCATCAGGGGAGCAGAAAAGTTGATGTTTCATTGACATTGACATTTCAACTTTCTGAAGAAGGGTCCTGACCTGAAATGTCAACTTTCCTACTCCTGTAATGCTGCCTGGCCTGCTGTGTTCCTCCAGCTCCATGCTGCGTTATCTCTGACTCCAGCATCTGCAGTTCTTACTTTCTGACACCTAACATGCATTGTCTGACCTAAAATGTCACCTTTTCTTTACACTAATAAAACCATTAGTTCTCTCAGGACAGTGACTTGAAAGGAATTTTGGCATTTACATACACATATGAATCAATTAAAACCTTCTAACTGATTAAAGATTTAACAGCATCTTAGGTTTGTTTAATACATCCACATCAGTTGTGTGACCCTTTGATCTTTTAATTATAAATTCTGTGTTCTGCGTGCTTCTTTCTCACTTCACCCAATGAAAGGGCTGTGTTCCAAAAGGTTGTGTTTTCAAATAAATCTGTTGGACTATGACCTGGTGTCGTGTGATTGACCTTATTACTTAAAATATCAAATCTTCTCTACAAAACTGGGCATGGAATCAGGATGTTGGTTGTTAATGATCATCAGGAAAACAACTACTTGAACTGATGCCTGGAGACCCAAGTACTTATCAGATATTGCCCTATTCATCCTGACACCCATGTCCTGAATGCTACTGGTCAAAATCTGCATTTGAAGATGATGACTATTCATCACTATACTGTATTCCATGGATTGGGTTGTTTGAAGCTGTTCGCTCCCAGACTGTTTTGCTGAGTAGCCATCTCTGATATTATATAAAGTGAAACACAGATTCTAGCATTGGCCCGGCCACCTGTTGCATATTTTTGGAGGCCTTACCTTCCATACCTTATTTCCATACCTTTGCATAAGTTTGATTCTCTAGCCTCATCTATCTGTCTCTTCATTGCTACCTTCCTCATTGTCTAATTGCTCTTAAACTGACAGCTAAATTTACTTTTTATTTGGGAATATTTTTCCCCATTTTCAGTAGCTATTATTCTGGCTCTATGTGTGTTGTGTGGCACCTGGAGTCCACTCTTGATCTGCATTCCTCTTACTAATTCTAGTTGGACCTATGATTCTTGGTGTGGCTAAATTTCTAATGGATGGCCATCATGTTGAGGGTCCTGGCATTAGGTCAGTATTTCTCGCTGCCAATTCTTCACTCCCAGAAGATAAGGCCAAGAAATGCAATGAGCTTTGTGCTAGCAGCTGCTGTTCTAACATAACAGAGTGCATGTGTCAGGATTTTGTTTTGAATCATCAATCTTAGCACTCATTCTGTACAAATCAACACTTCCCACGAAGTCCTAACTGAGTGAAATGCTTTTGGATCAGTTATCCCCTCCTCCAGCCAGGCTAATGCTCGTACAGCTACTTTGCATCTTCCTCTCATAGACTGTTAATTGTTTTAGTTACAGATCATTTATGATTTGTTGGTACCACCCCACTCCCCTCCCATGCCCACATGCCCTCATCTCTTCAACTTCTATCATGTAGGTTGACACTGCAAAATTAAATAATTATCTTATTCTTTATTGGGCCTGATGAACTTGAGACTTATTAGGACCAGGGAAGCAGTGTAGTGGAACGCATTTGCAGCCCGACCCTTTTACACAATAGTAATAGAAAGCAGAACTTGCTGAAGAAACACTGCAGGTCTGGCAGCATATGAAGAGAAAAATAAAGTTACTGTTTCAGGTCCAGTATGGCTTCTTTGGAACTCTAGTTCTGAAAAGTTATACTGGATTTGAAATGTTAACTTTGTTTCTCTTTCCACCGATGCTGCCAGACCTGCTGAGTTTCACCAGCACTTCCTGCCTTTATTTTAGATTTCCATCATCCACAGTATTTCACCTTTATTTCAATGATAACGCCTTTTGTTGCCCCCAAGATGAATGGACCCCGTGCCTTCAAACAAGTTTACTTGAAAGGTAGGAGGGTAGGAGACCAGGGCGGGAAGCATGTTTGATAAGGTAAATTAATATAAATGATTGTTTCTGGTCAGGATATTTATAACAAAGGGGGCACAATTTTAAAATTAGACAGAGGCCTTTTAGCTGTGAAATCAGGAAGCACTTTTTCACACAACTAAAAGTTTGGTTTTGTTTGAGACAATTGAAATGATCAACACTGAGGTCAATAAATTTGAGTTCACTAAGTGATTTAAAGGATATGATGCAAAGTTGCCCATGGACTGTATAAATATAGATCACATATGATATGATTGAATGATGGAAGAGATTTGGGGTTGTTGGTCTACTTCATGCTCTATGAACCTTCCATCTAAGGCCAGGAACTTTGTATGTGCTATTAGAATTTTTAGAAGTAAATCCTATTTTTGTTTTAAACGTTAGCTCTGAAAATGTATTTGGGACCTTTTAATTATGTTTGATATGTATGGTGGATCCTATAATCCTATATGAACTTTTACCTAAGTCCAATGGGAAAGTAGAGGAAATCTCTAGCGAAGAACCGAAGTCCAGTATAACTAAACTCATCGTGGAAAACCGAGAGAAATCCTGCAAAATTTCAAGACCATGGAAGTATACAAAACAGAAAGAGACCATTTGGCTGGCATAGTCGACTTCCCTTGCACATGTACTTTTCCCAATATTTTTTCAAATTAACACTGAATGCGTGAATTAGCAGTTGGTAATGTTTAATTCTGTATCAAATTCCTCCTGCAGTTCTTAAAGTTATTGAACATAGAGACATTCCTAATTTCAGCACTAAAAAAGATTTCAGTTACTTTTATCATTATTTAAAATGAAGGCGAATTTGAAGCTGTATCAAGGATTCTTTCAAACTTGAAGATCTCTATCTAACAGTCATTCTTCTTTCCTTGGCCAGGAAAAATGGATGGAACAGTCGATGCATGCAAAGGTGATTCCGGGGGTCCATTAGTCTGTACTGATGAAAGAAATGAAGCCTACGTGTGGGGTTTAGTTAGTTGGGGTGAAGAATGTGGAAAATATGGACGTCCTGGTGTGTATACAAAAGTGTCTCATTACTTTGAGTGGATTAGCAATCATGTTGGTCGAGCTCTTATTAGTAAATACAATGTCTGAATGATCAACATCTTCTTCATTCGCACCAAGAAATAAATCTACTGCAGAAAATGCATATAATGTAACTCACATTTTCATTAGAAAGGTTTACAAATTATAACACAATAACTTTCAATGTTCAAATACAACTACCACCAATAATCCTGTGTTATCAGAAACCAAGTAAACAGAAATGATTTGGAATCAGAGGTGGATTTGACCTGTTGCTTTGTAAACTTCTTTCCTATTAATAAAGACATGTTAAATGACATCCAAACATCATTTTGTCAATTATTCTCCAAGTAATTGTCAATATTATGTTTTCAATATTTCCAGTGTTAAAAAAGCTAAAGAAGGTGAAAAGTCACCAGATGGAGAGAAGAAGGTTTCGCCAAAGAAATCAAAGAGAGGATTGCATGAAAAATCACTAGGTTGAATCAAGATAAAGCTTAAGATAAAGATAAAGATAAATAGCATAAAACATATTGCCTACTCCATCTGTAGCATGCTCCCACCGGTTTGGGGTGAACTTTGAACTGGTATAAGAGCCTAGCCTTCAACATCTGTATTCTGAGTGTTCTAAATTCATGTTGGCTTTAATGCTTATCTCAGCAGTATTAATGCCAAGTATCTTTTTCCAGTATATGTTTAAGTAGGCCATAAAAGCTTCTGGACTTTATGGACATAAAGCGTGGGATCTCTCAGAGGACTGTGTGACTTTGGAACTTTCTGCCTCACAAAGCGGTGTAGACAATACGTTGAATATTTTTAAGATGGAAGTAGCTAGTTCCTTGTAAGGCAAGGACTCCAAAACTAGAAGCAACAGATTAAAAGCTAAGGATTGTTCCATTTAATTCAGAGATTAAGAGAAATTTTTCTCTTGTACAGTCATGCATTTTTAGAATTTTCTTTCACAGACAGCAGTAGAGGCTGGCTCATTTAAATACAGTTAAGCCTGAGTTAGACACATTCTTGATCTACAAAATATCTAGGCTTTTTGGACAAGTGGGAAAATGGAATTAAGGACCCAATCAGATCTTACTGAATCTTGGACAGGCTCAATGAGCCACTTGGCTTGTTCTGACCCTTATTCTCTGACTTTTGGGAAATGGTGAAGTCCTCTCATTGATGAAATTTTCTATCTCCCTCCGATGCTAACTGAGAATGAGAATTGTGAAAGAGAAGTGAGAGGAAGGAGGAGGAGGAGAAAATGCCCGAAGAGAGCGGATCAGGTCATGGTGTGATTTTTGAGCCAATCAGCAGGCCACCACAATCCTAGCCTGTTCAATTTTTCCTTCTAAGACAACCATCCATTCTGGTATTAATCTGGTAAATGTTCTATGAATGGCTTCCAGTGAATTATCATCCTTCTTTAAATAGGGTGATCAATACTGAACATATTACTCTAGATGTGATCTGTTGGATATTGGGGTCCCTTAAAAATGGAGTTTTCCTGGTATTTACTGTGTAACATGAGATTTCATTTCACATCTATTATAGCAGTAATAGGCTTTCTAAAATTCTGGTATGAGCAAACAACAGGGAAGAATTACAAGAAATATGTTGGTCACAATGCCCATTGAATGAGCACCTACAGTTTATCTGCTGCCAAACATACCCAATTATAAGTGTGCTGTTGTTGAAAAAAGCAGGTATTTGTTCTTAGAAAATGGGAAACTAGCCCTCAGATTAAGGAATCAAGGGGATAATGGTCTTCTAGTGTCATGAAAGGCTGTTCCATGACCATTGGCTGAAAGGGTTCAGACAACTGATTGACACAGTGAAAGTTACCTGCCCCTAGAAAAGTAAGATAACAATAAGTGCTCAGACGCAGAGGGGAGTTCTTTTTAGGGAGTTTGCTTCAAGCTGACCGTACTGCAGTTCATGTTGCGTGGTCCCAGAGAGCAATCTTCATCAGGCAGAGGGAAGACAGATCAGAAGCAGAGGAGGAAGACCCAGGGAAGAGTTAGAAGCAGAACCAACCGAGGTACTAGCACAGCACTTGGCTTTAGTAGAAATAAAAGACAGGCCAGGTAATGTGGTTGTCACACATCAGAATCAGGTGGTATAGGGTTATGGTACAGCAGTTTGAGCATGTGACAAAAATGAAGACGAGAGATAGAGGAGGAGGAAAGGGAGATACAATTCCAAATGCACATGTAAAGGTTCCAGAATTTACGAAGCAGCCTGGCAAACCCACTTTAAATTTGAAAAGGTTAAGCATTTTGACAGATGGCTAAGAGTATTAGAAGCTGAAACCATGTATGAAGCTCTTAGACAGACAACTATCTTAAAGGAATTTAAAAACTCACCACCTTCCATGTCATGAGTTTGAATGGAGTAGAAAATGAGAATCAAAGGAAGGCAAGTATCCAGGTAAAGTATGGATAGCTGGAAATTCCCCAAGGTTGCCTCCTCAGATCAGAAAGGAAGGTACTGAGGGTGAACATGAAAATCAGAAGCCAAGACATTTCCATTGTAACAAGATGGGACACATTTATTAAGAATGCTGGAAGTTGAAAGGGAAACCCATGTGACTTATTAGAGTTCATAGGAATGAGTCCTAAAAGTAAACTATATGAAGGGTTTGCCATGAGGGAAAGTAATTCATTTTTCTTCAGATGAAGTATCTAAGTCGATAACATAATCAGGGCTATACGGGCTACTCAAACTCTCTTGCTGGAGAAGAATTTAGTTTTCCCTCCAGAGAGTTCGATGAAAGCCAAAATGTTGGTAAATGGGATGGTTGACAGTAGACAAAAACAAAAGTTGCTGGAGAAACTCAACAGGTCTGATAGCACCTGTGGAGAGAAAGCAGAGTTAATGTTACGAGTCCACCGACCCTTCCTCAGAGTTCTGAAGGCAGTCTTTACCAGAGAGTATTGGACCTCTAGATATATTGCCAGTTAGTTTGATAGGTGCTGACTATCTGCTTGCCTCTGAGGAGAGCTGGATTGGTTCTTGACAGGGACAGAAATTGTATCATATAGAATGCAAGTGTCTTTATGGATAAAACCCTAATGATATTCAAAAAAGAGCAGGTTGAGTTCTACTGGTCCCTTGGCTGACATTTATTCCCCAGATAATACCACCAAAAAAATAGATTTTTACTTAATTGTCGTTTGTGGGACTTTACTTATGCAAATTGGTTGTTATCTTTCTACAGTACAACAATACTGATCTTCAAAAATATCTCATTGTTTCTAAAGATTATGTAATTGAACACCATGAGAAGAAATGTGTCAAAGACATAGAATATAATCTAAATAGATGATAACATAGAAAGTAGAAAGCCTCAAAAAGCAGAAAGGGGAACATTTGATTCAAAAAACATAAGTGCAGGAAAACCTTCAAAAGTTCAAAAGTCAAAGCAAAAAGCCAGAAACCGAAAACCAAACCACATTAATATCACAACATTTTTAGGGAACTAACTAATAAACGGTTAGGAAACTGACTTATATGTTGATTGCATTCGCAAAAATAAGCAAATTGAATGCATTATATCTTGAATTTCTCACAACGCAATGGTCAATAGAGCTTTTAATGTATTCTGATTGGGTAAGTTAGGCTCTTCATTCCTGTGTCTCTCTGCTACATTTTGTCTAGTTTAAAACATTGACACAAATCTTTTTGAAATGATGTCTAATTTACAAACCTTTAATCCAAATGAACTTTTATTAGATTCAGCTGCAGAATATTCACAACTTCACCATTCACCGATCTTAAATGAACAATCTATATTGTAACATCTATTGAATTCCAAAGGGCTCTCGAGATCAATAAGCAAATATCAAGCAGTGCACTTTCACAGCAGACTGACTGTGAAATTGCAAATGTCTATGGAGATAGTGGAAATAAAAACAGAGCAGTTTCACAGCTGACCTTGGGAGTCCTAATATCTGAATTGCATATAGCAGCTGGGGAGATCAGTGATGATCGCAGAGCCTGAAAAGCTAAGTGTTTGATTTTAAAGCTTATAAAACATCTAAATCTTAAAGCTGTTTTTGTATATCTGTAATAGTGAGTAGGGTGAGGTATTTTTAATGTTTTACTGAGATTGTCTTTTGATTTGAATTTTAATATGAAATTTAGTCATTAACTTATCCCAGAACAGTGTTTTGAGCTGTAAAATTGTGCTAATGCTAAGTGTTTGAGCAAAGTATGTTGTGTTTGTTTTTAGGTTATTTTCTGGGTCTGTTGATTGCTAACGGGGCAGTGATGGTCTTTGGCGGAGTGATGTGTTCTTCCTTTTTGGATGTGGGAGATCAGGGAGCATTTCAATGTTCCTGGAGACTATGTCTGCAGGAAGTGTGTTTAGTTGCAAATCCTGTCAGATTGTACAGACCATTGGGGTCACTTCTAGGTTAAAAGTGACCTATATAAGAAAGATGAGTTGCACCTGAATTGAAAGGGTCTAATATCCTAGTGCTACTTGGGAGGTTTTACATTAGTAAGGGGAAGGGGTTGAGGCCCAAAGAGATAAGTTTAAGGCTGGTACAATAGATAAATGAGCAAGTTAAATAGTCAAGGCAGGCAAGAGCATGAAAGAAAATGAAGTAAGACTGATCAATTAAACTGCATTTATTTCAATGCTAGAAGCCTGACAAGTAAGGCAGATGAACTTAGGGCATGGTTTGGAAATTGGGACTGGGATATCATAGTTATTACAGAAATGTGGCTTAGAGAGGGGCAGGACTGGCAGGTTAATATTCTGGGGTATAGATGCTATAAGAAGGACAGAAAGGAGGGAGACTGACCTTTTTGGTTAAGGACAATATTAAGGTAGTACTTGGGGAAGATATTCCTGGGAGAATATCCAGTGAAGTTATATTGGTGGAACTGAGAAATAAAGAAGAAATGATCAGCTTATTGGGATTGTACTTCAGGACCCCAATAGTGAGTGGGAAATTGAGAAGCAAATATGCAATGAGATCTTGGATATCTGTAAGAATAATAGGTTTGTAATGGTAGGGGATTTTAATCTTCCAAATATAGATTGGAACTGCCACAGTATTAAGGGTTGGATGGAGAGGAGTTTAAGTGTGTGCAAGAAAATTTTATGTGGATGTACCAAGCAGAGAAGGAACAAAACTTGACCTCCTCTTGGGAAATAAGACAAGACTAGTGACTGAGATATTAATGGGGGAAGCACTTTGGAGCAAGTGATCATAATTCTGTTCATTTTAAAATAGTTATGGAAAAGGATAGACCTGGTCTAAAAGTTAAAGTTCTAAATTGGAGAAAGGCCAATTTTTGGCAGTATTAGGTGGG